AAACGAGAGTTAGAAACCACGCACCAGAAACCCCAGAAAATGGCCAAACATTCCGACGGCAAGAATTCCCAAGAATCGACCGAAGACCACGGCCCAGGTGCGATTTCTGTAAGAACTTTGGCCACGAGACACAAGAATGCAGGAGAAAAACACAGGATCAGCGACGACCGGCCAATGACCAAGAGATCATTAGATGTTACGGATGCCAACGTCCCGGCGTTTTCCGCCGGAACTGTCCAAACTGCAATTCAGAGACACGACGGACAAACCTCTGTGCAGCGAGGATAAATTCTAGAGCGCAACCCACCATAGATCGCTCACAAGAAATCCTCCGAGATATGCAGGTACCGCCACTCACCGTACCGATGCAAATCGATGACATCCGGACCTTCTCCGCACCATCACCAGCCCGAGATTTTTCCGCGATGGAATACATGGGGGCTGATGCCCACTCCGCCATTGGGAATGAGAAATTCCCCGAAATTCCGCGCATCACGTTCTCCTCTTTGCAACTTCCAGCAGAGAAAGGACGGACCTTCCGCAAAGAAAAGAAGTCCCGGCGTAAAGGGCGGAGGAAGATGAGGAAACCCTTTGTGCTAACGACAGATAGCAGCTACGTACGAGGAGTAGCTCCACTCCAGGGGGAGGCCACCAACGAACTCCCTGTAAAATACGGTAGCCGCTTGTTCACGAGCACCGAAAGAAAGTACACCGTCCAGTCGCGAAGACCCGCACACGAGTACCAACCCCGAGATCAAGTACTGGTAGTAACCCATCCACGAATCAACGCTCGAAAAGGAGTCAGCGCCCAAATTGCTCCTAAACGCGAGAGGCCTTACATTAGGCGCCCACAAGGACCTACGAGTTATAAGGTATACGACGCACAGCATCCCCAAGCATCCCTAGGTTTCTACCATACTCCGTTTCACGGGAGCACTACACCTACGCCAGCGCCAGTGGCCCCGCTACGAAAACGAGGCCGCCTCAGAAAGCAAGTTCAGGACCATAGTCGGGACGCCTTAATGGTCCTGAGGGGGAGATTGTAGCGGAGCTTTCAAAGCGCTCCGCTAGTACCCTTTCGAGGGCGCTGTCCTCGGCAGCGCCGATATCAACCCCACCAAGCTCACCCCCACTGGAACGCACCCCACCTGAAGTTACTTCATTGTGCAGGTACTCCCACGCATCTCAACCCTGCCTATAAAAGGGCAACTCGGACGCTTTCCAGGCAGATGGAACGCCACCATCTCCACCTTAAGGGCTGCACTGTCTCGGTCCCCTTCTGGTGAGCACCGTACAGATGGAACTCCACCATCTCCACCTTAAGGGCTGCACTGTCTCGGTCCCCTTCTGGTGATCACCAGGGCTGCACTGTGTTACGGTCCCCTGCGCCGCTTCGATATTATTACCAGGGCTGCACTGTGTTACGGTCCCCTGCGCTGCTTCGAGATCTTCACCAGGGCTGCACTGTTTTACGGTCCCCTGCGCCGCTTCGAGATCTTCACCAGGGCTGCACTGTTTTACGGTCCCCCTGCGCCGCTTCTACGACGTCATCTCCAGGGTCGCACTGTCTAGGTCCCCTGTGCCGCATCGCCGACGTCGTCATCTCCAGGGTCGCACTCTCTAGGTCCCCTGTGCCGCATCGCCGACGTCGTCATCTCCAGGGTCGCATTCTCTAGGTCCCCTGTGCCGCATCGCCGACGTCGTCATCTCCAGGGTCGCATTCTCTAGGTCTCCTGTGCCGCACCGCCGACGTCGTCATCTCCAGGGTCGCACTGTCCAGGTGCCCTGTGCTACATACATCGCCGCCGTCATCCCCTACGACGCTCTGAGTCCCAGGAGCCGCCACCATCCCCGACGAGAATTGCCACCCCTTCGATAACCCATACCCATATTTTGCTTTGTATTGTTTGCTTATTATCAATAAACCGCTGAGCTACCACACAATTAATTTTTATGTTACTACAAATCGCAGTAATGGTCATATGGCAAATACTCATTAGAAGTGTTTGTTGGGTAGATACATATTAATTTTAATTTTCAGAAGTGTTACTATTTAATATTTTATTATTATAAGGTACTATAGTTTCAATACTTTCGCAGTTCTTCAGTGTTATGCCACATCTAATTTTGATCATTTCGAATACTGAAATGCAAATACTGTCTTGTTATTTCAAAAGATTTAAAAACTTCCAAGTTTTTTATCGGTCAGTTCTATGTATAAGCGGACTCATTTTTTATGTATGTCGTCATAATTTCTCTTACTTTATTCTGATTCATCTTTGCGATTTTTTACGGGTACTTTTTTAGGAGTTTTATTTTTCTTTTGTTTGTGTATTTAAAAAAAAGTACCGTCTACTTTTGATACAAAATTTCCTACATTTTGTAATTATAATATTTTTTTATTTTTCTTGAGGTCACTTAAAAATTATTATCAGAAACAGATGGTTAATAGAAAAATACAGTAGATTGTCTATTTTGTTGCATTTTGTAAAACAGGTCGGGTTTTTTTTTTAATTAGTTAATTTTTACTTTCTGAGCGCAAGCTAAGGAAGTATTGTAATCGATTCCATTGGACGACTGAGAATTTCATATTTTCTCGACGTTTCATGACCCCTAGAGTACGAAAACTAGGTCTCCCATTTCTATTTGTCTCTCTCTCTCTCTCTCTCTCTGGATTTGCATTAGACAAATAGTTTCCGAAACTACTGAACCGATTATTATCAAATTTTATGTGTATTAGGAATATAGTGTAGATGGTAAAACGGTAACCAAAATTTAGATAATCATCCTTATCAATAACAGTATGACGTCATTTTCAAAATTTACATTAGTAAACATTACTTAAATTTTATAAAACAAGATGCTCCTGCACAGCATGTGAATCCGTGTTGGATTTTTACCCTAGAAATCTAAATTTTTGAAAAAATAAAGTCAAAATTTTATACCATTTTGCAATTTAATTTTATATCCCGCCCGCTTCACACTAACTGATGACGTCATTTTGCAATTTTGCCGAGTAAAGGTTCTTTAAATTTAATAGAATTCCATTCTTCTGTATGTGTGATTTATGAATCCATGTCGAGACACCTAGATTTTTTGGAAAAAAAAAGTCAAAATTATATAACAACATTTTACACATTAGCTCCGAAGTTCAAAATTCGAAAGCTCTGAAAACTTGACAGAGTTTTAAATTTACCGCAAGTATGTAGATCGTTAATAAAATTTTTCTCGTTTATGCCCCCCTAAAAAATGATGACGTCATTTTACAATTTTGCCGAATAATGTCGGTTAAATTTTATATTACATGCTTCTGCATATGTGATTTAAGAATCCGTGTTGAGTTTTTGCCGTAAATATTCAGATTTTTGGAAAATTTAACATTGAAATTAATTAAATTTTTTAAAAGGTTATTGGAAGATGGTAACTCGTTAATCTTTTAAAGACATATCTTACAATTTTGCCCTATGTTCTTTAAATTTATGAGAGTTCACCCTAGACATCACCTGTTTAATCAATTAAGTAGTCTCCCTCTGCTTTGAGAAGATAAAATCAATCAAATTAATTTTTTTTAACCGCTGATGCTTGTAATCTGGCGTACTATAATCGAATGCTTTTGAAATATAAACATAAACAGTCGAAGTTAAGTTAAGCACTGAGAAATTGAGAATATCTACATTTATTCCCGTTGGCTAATTTTGTAATTAAAAAAAAGTGGGATTTGTAAGACTACATTTTAAGGGCCAGGGAAGTTCTGTCTAAATAACTTTTTTTTATTTAATATTTTGTGGAATCATTTATTATTAAGGAGAATAAAAGGCAACTTTTTCTAATTTAATTTACCTTGCCATCAGAAATAAAAGAAATTAGAGTTGGCTGTTAGACCAATGAGTGCGTGGTATCATTTATATCTACATTGCCTGCACACCTGTAAGTGTCAAAAATTAATCACGTGACAAAAACTGATTAGAAATCTACAGCTTGATCGACAAGACCAACTCTAATTCTGTTTATTTAAATCGTGCAGCATTTAATGTTTTTTGAAATCTTGATAATGAAGTAAATCTAAAAAAAAAAATAAAGGATTAGTTCAGATTAGTTCCTTTTCTAGATATAAACTACAAGTGTGTAAAATTTAAATAGAATTTACACCGCAAAATTTTGAGATGACGTCATCGAGTTGCTAGTGGGGATGGTCATACAAATTTTGATTAACGCTTTAGCATCTAACTGTTGTCATAGTACACCTACAATTTCAAACAATATTTTCGGCGATTATCTCTCTATAAAATTGTCTACAAAATCTTCAATAGACGACAGGCGGAAAGGGAAAACCTACTGTTTATACTTTAGAAGCTATAAAACGTCGAGAAAACATGAAATTAGCCATTCACCAGACGCTATTTTACGCTCGTAAGTAAAAAAATATGAACTTGTTCAAAAATTGGTTTTCGGTTTTTAGGTCTTCAGTTCTATATAATCGTTATTTCCTTATATAAATTTTCCATTTTAAACATATTTTAAATTTCATATTGTGAAAAGAAGTCTACACACAACAAAAAGGCAAAATGTAAGCCCGCCCACCCGGCCCTATCTCAATTTTGATATTTTTTTTTTATTTGCCACGAATCAAGGGGGCGGAGCTTAACTGCAAAATTCTTTTACTTTACAAGAAATTAAAAACATGTTTTTGAGTATCGTGTTGTTCAAAGAATACTATTTACATTAAAAAAAAAGGCAAAACATAAACCCCGCCCACCCACCCCATCTCAATTGTGATGATTTTTTTTATTCTTAGAAACTTAAAACACGTTTAAAATGGTAGATTAAATTTAGTTTGACTTAACTTAAAGCAATAATAATAATGAAGGACCAATAACAATTAAAATCCACAATGTGACTACACTATTTCTTCATTATAAATAAATACCCTTCGAAGAAATTTCAAAACCTTACTTTTGCCTGTGTTCACTTTTTATTTGTTGTGTTTTGTGGCTTCATAGATAGTTCAGATGATTCCTTGCGAAGACTCACCGATGACTTTGGAAGGCACAGGTTGACAGGTATGTACACATACATAATTTTCTATTAAAAACATTGTATCTTCCCACATTCGCTATCAAAGTACATATCTCAGTACCACCCTTTAATGACCACCTTCACGCCTCATTATTTGTACCGTGATGGTTATCTGCAAATACCAGGTGGTACTGCGACATGTTCTAATTTGGCTTATTGTTTCTGTGCATGTCATCGTTGTCCATATTTGCACATTCGATTAGATCTGGTAGAAGCAGATGAAAGCGAGGAGGACGGTTTGGAGTATTTTAAATCGTCAGCACGTCGTAATAGATACACCTCTAGTAAGTTTCCATTTCGTTCATCTGTGTTTTGTGTCACGTTTGCACTTGCATGTAACGTATTGCTTTCTGTGTTGCTTGCATAGTCGCTAGTACCGCTTCATCTATGGACGGTCTGTGGGATTTGCATCCGCGTCGCTTAAGCGAAGCCGGACTCAGCCGTCACTCAGGTACCCACCATCCACCACCCCTCATTTTATTTCTTCTTCTAACTCTCGTCTTTGGATAGATTCAAGCGCCGTCTTGACGGAAGACACCGATAGTTTCATAATCGGCCAAAGAGTATGGGTGGGAGGTACCAAACCCGGTACCATCGCGTACATCGGGGAAACACAGTTCGCCCCGGGCGAATGGGCAGGAATAGCTCTAGACGAAGCCATCGGTAATTAATATGAGAGTCATCTATCAGAATAAAACAGACGGTTTTAGGGAAAAACGACGGCTCGGTTGGTGGTATACGGTATTTCCAGTGCGAATCGAAAAAAGGAGTTTTTTCGAGGTTAACTCGTTTGACACGAGTACCTTTGGAACAACCAGGAATGGGTTCCAATGAGACGTTCACAACCAACAATGGCGTACGCAGAAGTCCTATTTCGCCCACCGGCAGTACCAAAAGTCTACTCAAATCACCTACTCTAAGTACGTCAAGTACGCCATCGTGCTAAAATTAGAGTGTTTCATTTCAAAGCGTTCAAAGAGATTCTTGATTATGCAGATTTGTTAGATGATAAATCAACAAGTGACTTTTTCGACACTCTAGTTTCGAAAAAGATCATTGAAGGATCCAATTACGCAACTCAGTAGGATATAAAAAGCAGAGTCGTGTGGCAGCAAATCAAGCATTGCAAACAAACACATCATTTTCTAAATTATTCAAAAGCAATAAACGCTAATTTCGCAAGTTTCAACATTTTATCGTTGGATTATTATTAAGTATTTAATGTCAGCGTGATGTTAGTGCAGACTTCCCAAATATATAATACACTTTATCGGTAATTTAATTGATCCATAGTTTGAGAAACATTATTGTAATGTGTATATTGTTTTATATCCGGTAATTGAGTCTTGAATTCGTCGTTTACAGGGACACGTGAAACAAATGGAAAATAAATAAATACAGTAATACAGTGCATGATCAACAAATCTAGTGCTCCTGTTGGTTAAACAATATGAGTCTCTTTTGTTCAACGATTGTATATAGCAGTCACTATATTCAGTATTCGTGGATTTTAATTTAATTTAATTTAATTTAATTTAATTTTAGATTTGTCCTTGATTTGTTTGCTTTTGAACGGCTTGTTTGTGTACAGTTTGTTTTCGAACGGTTTACCACACCACAGTTCAGTCACAAAAAACTATTTTAATCCGCGTTGGTTCCTTACCGGTTTCTTTTCTGCATAATCCAAGGATAAAACGCATTGAAAACGACCGACAGATCGAATATTTTACAAATTTTAAGGTAACTCGAACACGAGTTTAGCCAGTGCTGCACACATCGATTTCAAAATCGGCGATCGCGTCATCATCAAGAGTACCCAAGGCTCTAAAATCGGTACCGTCCGCTACATGGGCTTGACCGATTTCGCCCCAGGAGAATGGGTCGGCGTAGAATTGGACGACCCCAGAGGAAAGAACGACGGTTCGGTGGAAGGAAAAAGGTTCGTTAGCACGTTTGGTGGTACTTTGGCTGAAGTACTTCTTGCAGGTACTTCGAGTGCCGCCCGAACTTCGGTCTTTTCGCGCCTATTTCCAAAGTGAGCAAGTCGCCTTCGAAGTACAAGCCTTCGGCTTGCGTGGTGCATTCGGGCCCCGGGCTGCCGCCTTCCGGCTTGAAGAGAACCAACTCCAAGGAGTCGATGACGTCCTTGGCTTCGAAAACCAGCGCCGCATCAAGCGTGCGGAGGGTAAGGCTTGGGGTCACTTCTCTGTCACCAAAGGTAGGTTGTGTGTTGTTTTCTTGAAGCCTTGAGACAACACCAACCAAGATAAGTCGAGTGTGATTACGTAAAGTGTTGACTGCATGTTTTGACACTAATGTGTACGTGGTTTGAGGTGGACGTAGGTTTGTCACCTGTGGTTTTGTCCATCTCGAATTGCGTAGTGTGGTATTTATAACAAGATTTTTTTTTGGTTTGTGTTGGTTTATTTTTAGTTTTTTGGCTTATTGGTATTAATAATTAATTAATTGATTTTGTTATGCGTGTGTGACTTTTGTTGTTTGTCAGAAGGTGTCGCCAAAAACAACAACGCCTCTACCAACGAGGACAGCTCTCCAGGTAACTTACTAATGATGTTCATGGAACAGTAAAACCGTTGGCTTTCGCTTCGTTTTTTTTTTTCTTTATTATTAACTGGATTAAGTGCTGCGTAGTTGTAGTTGTTGAATGGTTATAGTTTATACGTAACGCCTTTATATTGTTACTTTGTAGTACGTGTTATTTAGGCTGTAGGTAATTGTCTCTTAATAAATTTTACTGACCCGTTGTCAAATCCTTGTCCTTGTTTCCTAATTCATAACTGAAAAAGTGGGTAAGTGTCAGTCGGAAACGCATCAACAAGACATATAGCATACGTTTATGTCATATTATACACACTGTTTTGCATATTTCCATATTAGATGAGTTTTTTGTTGGCAATTAATAGATGTTTATATTAAGGAGCCACGAATCAATGTTGTGATACTTCAAAGTGCAAACATATTTTAGATAATGGAAATTTAGCATCACCGTGTTTAAATATAATCTTAAAATGAAAATTATTTACGTAGTTGATATTGATGGATTTAAAAAATATTGGATGTTTGAAGGGGACTTGGGAAGTCAAAACATGGACTTATCGTTTCAAGTTCAAATAAAGTGCTTAAAAATAGTATTAAAATAGTTCTGTATGGACGAGGTAGTACCTTGGCACACGAGTTTTTTTTCTGGAGGTTTTACCCATTTAAAATATTCAGAAGTAACTTTGTAGCAACTTGTTATTAACTATCTTTTTTCGTTTTTCGAATCAGGTACTTCTTCAGTACTTAGTACATATTTTGCATATCCGCACCTGAAGTTCGCCTTTACTCCCTCTGGAAGAACTAAAGTAGCACTTTTTTCTTTTCCAGCGTAAGCTTAAAGTAAGCGTAAGTATTGCAATGGCTGCTTTAATGTTTTTTCGACGTTTCATGGCTCCTAGAGTATGAAAAAATTGGTCTTCCGTTTCTGTCTGTCTGTCGTCTTTGTCGAATAATCCTCGAAACTAGTGGACTGATTGTTGTCAAATTTTTTCTTTGACATTTTGACATATAGTTAAGTCAAAAGTAGTAACTTTATCATTATATTATTTTTCCCGTATGGCTTTGGACTCATAGGACGTGAATTGTACTTGCAATTTATCCCCGAAATTTCGATTAAATTTCCCACATTGATCCTGGTGGGATGTGTCAATCTGTTGTTAAGTGTCAAAAATAATTATGAAAATTACGACCACTAATTAAAATTCGCTCAATTTAGACTTTATTTGCCTGACCAAATTGATCCTATATTAATTAACATTAGAGACCCCAATTAGCTATTATGATTCAGATTAGTCCGTGGAGTAGCTTTAATTTGCATTAAGTGGGATTAAGTTTGTGCGTAACTAAAAAAGACGGATTTTTGAAGTAATGAATTCATTCGTTTATTTTAATCTTAAGTAAGTCGTCGTTTATAGAGAGGTCCAGTAGCGATGAATTTCATCAGATGTTTTTTGGATTACATATTCAGGAGAGCTAAAAAAATTAACTCACTGTTTCCTTACGTGTGCAAGGCCGGGCCCACGGGGTCACCCTGCACGTGTCTGTTTAACGTGGAGTGGAACTGTAATACTTCTAATATATTTTTCCACTATCAGTGAATGTTGTTTTGGACACATTCAAATGAACATCTTGTAACAAGTACGAATTCAGTTGAAATAGGGACCAAGCGACAGGGATGGATTTATTTAAGAAGTTTCAGATTTTTTTGGCCCAATTGTGAAGCTGCTGAAAATATTTTCAAAAAATTGTATATAATAGTACTTCTCGAGTACTAGCTATGGAAAATATAACAGGAGCAGTTTGGTTTATGTCTCCTTTCTTTTTTTAACGGGGTTCCTCTGTTGGAGGTTTTGCTGCGATATGTCCTGTTCCATGTACTTCAGGATTATGATTTAGTTGTTTCTGAAAGGTGTCGATCATCTCAGATTTGATGTAAGAATATTGTGTAGGTCGAAAAGCGCTGATTAAACGTTGCCTGATCACCCCACCAAAAATTTTATTTCTCATCTAAAAATTTTGCGAAATAATCCCATTTAAAATGTTCAAAAATAATATGCTTGGCTTAATTAATCCAAACTCAATTTTTAATTTTATGCATGTAGGCATTTAGAAAATATACATATACGCATAACAACATTTAATAATATAGCTTACTCGTAGAAACTACAAAATTATTCATCCCTCTCATAAATTTTGTGACGTCATCTCAACCTCACTGAAAATTTATAATGTGACATATTTTACGAGACGAACTTTTGTGAAGGTTTAACCAGATGCTATTAGAATTAAAATGAATCACGTAATTTTATTATTTCATTGAAAAATGTATTATTCAATTTTTCCAAAATTTTGCAAACACAAAAAAAAATCAGATTAGATGTAGATGTAATAGAGACAATGGTATACAGAAACGTGTATAATAAATAAAGGACCAATTTTCTTTTGTTGACAAATAATCACTCCTAATACATTGATCCGGCTCATTAGCAAAAATCATTTAAGGAAGACATTACACCGTGTTAAAAAATGAATCGTAGGTTTTTTATGGAATTAGGAGAAAATTACCGTAGCGGAAAAAAAAAACATAATAAGACTTCAAACATTGATTAATGAGACGTTTCTATAAAAATCATTTCCACACAATGGCCGACTAGTATAAAGATTATGGCCTGTCCAAGAGGTACCATACGTGTTGCCATCTATTAATAATTACACTTAATAATTTAGCAAAATTTTAATTTGATTTGACATTATGAGACTTCAAAACGTGTAATGGTGGTTTGTTTCGGTATGAATGCCTTTGTGCCTTTCAAAAAGTGTTAATAATCCTTTTGTCGTTTTTGAATTATTAATAGATGGCAGCACGTATGGTACCTCTTGGACAGGCCATAATCTTTATACTAGTCGGCCATGCCCACACATTGTAAAGAGCGTGATGTGCGTTAGCAACACTATAAAATTCCTAGTAAGAAACAACTTACTTTGTGTAGGTAAGTAGAAAATCTTAAAAGTATGTCACTGTACTTCTAATATATTAAATTCCTTACGAATCAATTACATAGATGGCGTTCCCTTCAAACTTGCTCAAAATTTTTTGTAACACTACAACAAAATGAAAATTCGTAACAAGTAGTATAATACTTTGCTTTAGTAAGCAAGTGTTTAGAGAGACCGCATTATATTAAAAAAATGTCCTAGTAAAATATAAGTGAAAATAATAATTAACTAAGTTTTTCAATTACCACATTCAGAAACACGATGATAGTTATTGCTCTTTAATCTAGAAATATGAAATAAACGTATGCCCCCACATCCGCGTTTCCTTCATTCGCAAACCTACACGTTGAAATCAATTTAAAATTTCAAAACTTTGATAACAAGACTCCCACTTACGGAAACAAAATGTTACAATAACTCACCCTAATAGTACGATTCAGTTGTAATCCGGCACTTGAGTGTTAGACATCGGCACTATTTGTTTGGATTGATTGCGCGTTTTAAATAAACTATTTCGGTGTTTTCGTAGAGTAATGCCTGAATGCGAGACAGCGGTTTTACTGTGAAATGAGGACTTCTGGCGAATTAGTGTTCAGAGTATGTATGCTTTTGTTGGGACAGGATGTGTTACGAGAGAAGCAGCAGCACATAGAGCAACTCCTGAGGGAAAGGGATTTAGAACGTGCTGAAATCACTAGGGCGGCGAGTCAAGCAGATGAAGCCGAACAGAAGTTCCACCACCTTAAGCAGGAGTTTGAACAGGTTAGATGCTTTTTTCAAAAGGGGTATAGCCATTAATTAAATCAATCAAAAACTAAAAAGTCGGAAAGGAATCATTTTCTAACGACGTCAATAAATTTTTGATGTGACGTCAACAACGAATTCGGCCTTGTTTAATAAAATATTGTTTAAATAGTTTTTAGGGAATCCCGTGATTAGCCTGAAAATTATGTTTGTGTTTGATTTTTACCGAAATTAGGGCAAAAATTTGATTTTTTACGATCGTTGACATTTGGTTTTAATGGCGCATGAGCAGTTTTTTAGGTAATTTATTAGAAACAGAAAAATTTTGAAACATTCGCATTAAACCCATATTCATTAAATTGAACACTGAATGTTTTATTTTATGTAATTGGTGTTATACCTACACGCTTTAAATAATGCAGATAGTATTTGGAGGAGTTTAAGACATGCTTTAAATATATTAAACGAACCATTAAAATTCAGTTCATTGTAGTAATATTTAATTACAAGCAGTTAGCAGGCCATTAAGAAGAAAATTCAAAAGATAATTTATTCCAGTCACAGTCATCTCAAAGAGAGTCATTTTCTTAACCACACATCGATGAGCATGAAAATTTAATCATTTTGATTGTTCATCAATTTAAACTTATTTTTCTGGAGGCGCATTAATGGAACACAAAATTTTATTACAAAATGTCTACAGTAACACACATACTTGTTTAAAAAAAGATTGAAACCCATAAATATACCGGGTGTGGAATCGTTTTTTGAACAAATGTTGGCTAGAGTAGAGAATAGAAAATTGTATTCAAATCATTGTAAGTAAAAAAGAATTCACGATTTGTGATAAAATAGTAGTATTAGTCTTGAGAAGTGTCAATTAAATAAAATTCCGTACTTTGACATTTTGTTTGTATTGATGAGGCTGATACGTGTTTAAACTCCATATTAATCTTAATAATAATGAAAAAACTTTCCGAGTTTAAATAATATATTTGTAGTCACTGCTACACGTGTTTCGGCACACAGTACCGTCTTCAGGCAGAAGAGAAACTGAATATATTATTTAAACTCTGAAAGTTTTTTCATTATTATTAAGATTTGACATTTTGGCTATTCAGTTTAAATTAACTATGCTGATTTTGGATTCAACATAAACTTTAAAGGATGTTTTACTCTCAGTTATAATAATTACTCTTAGAATAAATATTCAAATACATCACCATAGCTAATCTATCATTTTTAAATCTTCGAAGTTGTAAGTATTGATTTCAACATCGTTTTGAACGCCCCGCCACAAAAAATCATTTGACGCCAAATCGGGAGTTCCCACCGACAAATGAATTGCATCCCTCTACCTATCCAATGATTTGCAAAGGTGGCATTTAAATAATCCCTCACCAAATATGCCTTATAGACCGAACACTACTGCTACTGGTACCAGTGGCGGCTCCTCGGGGTGCTTACGATG